CCGTGCATGCGTGGGTTTTCTCCGGGTACTCCGGTTTCCTCCCACAGTCCAAAAACATGCATGTTAGGCTGATTGGTAACTCTAAATTGTCCCTAGGTGTGAGTGAGAGAGTGAATGTTTGTTTGTCTCGTTTGTCTCTATGTGTCCCTGTGATGGACTTGCGACCCGTCCAGGGTGTACCCCGCCCCTCGCACAGTGATTGCTGGACATGGGCACCAGCGACCCCCGTGACCCAAAATGGAACAAGCGGGTAAAGATAATGGATGGATGGATGGATGGATGGATGGATGGATGGATGGATAGCTGGTGGGGTCTGCAACCTTATTGACCAAATAACTATTTCTGCCCCTTCACTTATTAAATAAAAAAGAGCCCGGAGCCACGAAACCTGCTACAACTGTGATGATCAACTGGTGGTACATGGGCCACTTTGAGTTAGTTGGAGGGGCCTTTTCTGACGAGTGGGGGTGACATTTTAAAACTAAGAATCAATAATGAATTTCAACATTTATTCATATGTTTACATTTTGGGACAAAAAAAAAAAACTGATGTAAAGAAGTAAAAACTTCTAGCTGAAAATGAAATCACTGAACTCTGCAAGCCCATGTGACCTTTTATGTGAGTTGAATTCTCACTTTGAAGTAATAAAGCAAAAAATAGTAAATGGACTGCATTTATATAGCACCTTTCTATCTGATCAAGATACTCAAAGCGCTTTACACTACAATCTGTGCCTTCATTTAGCCATTCATACAGCACTCTACTATTTCTGGACAAAGACTAATCAGAGCTTTATCACATTCATACACTGATGGGACACACATCGTAGACAATGAGGGGTTCAGTGTCTTGCCCAGGGACACTTCAGCATGTGACTGCTGGCGGAATCAAACAATGATCTTGCAATGGAGGACAACTGCTCTAACCACTCAGCCACAGTCGCCCATAGAAGTGTTGTTCAAACATTTGCAGAAAATTATTTTAAAAAATAACAGCCAAAACTAATCATTTAAAAACCAGAACAATTAAATTTCTGAATAAAGAGCCACAGGTTGCAGACCCCTGGCTTAGATTAAAGACCTCTGTTGAGAGCAAATATTTTAACTCATACACACAATTTTATTGTTTCAGAAAATGTTTTTCTGTGCTCAAACAAATATGTGAAGAAGAAAACTTGTGGTTTAATAGGAATTACTTTTTTATTGTATTTGCTAAGCTAAGTAATCTAAACTATTGAAGTTTAGAACAGTCCAACAGACACGTTTCCTGAAATGTTTCATTCTTTTCTACACATTGCATCCTGTTTGGTCAAATTTAGAAATGGAGTATTTACCCTTAACAATGGATATCCACTTTGCAGGTAGGATTTGAAAAGTGTTTCAGAAACACCTCAAATCTCCAAGTATTGTCAACAGGCTACATGAACAAGATTTCTCACATTTTAACCGTGAACTGTGGAATAACATGCTACTACTCTGTTCCAAAGGTCAGAGGTCATCCTGCAGAGGGATATAATAAACTATAGCCACCATGAATCGTCCAGCTCCGGTGGAACTGTGCCACAAGAACATGAGATTCCTGATCACGCACAACCCCACAGACAGTACACTCAACTCCTTCTTGGAGGTACCCCACTTCTTATTGTGCACCCAAAGAGTTATCCACGAAAAAAAAAAAAAAAGATGTACGCTATAAATTAAAAATCGATCATCGCGTCCTCTGTTTATGTATGTAAACCTTTGGCCTGTTTTGCTCCTTTCAGGTCTTAAAACAATATGGTGTCACAACAGTGGTGCGAGTTTGTGACTGCACCTACGACAAAACACCACTTGAGAAAGATGGTATTAACGTATTGGTAAGTACACAATCATGCATCGCTTTCAATGATGCATATAAGAACTCTGTTATATAATACAAAGGTTTCAATCTAATTGTATAGGACTGGCCCTTTGATGATGGAGCTCCACCACCAAGCAAGCTGGTTGATGATTGGCTGAGTTTGCTAAAGAAGAAGTTTCAGGAGGATCCTGGAAGTTGTGTGGCCGTTCATTGCGTTTCTGGTCTTGGAAGGTACGAGTTATTTCATGGGAAAACAAAAATGAATAAAAGCATATTTCTATAGATTACTGTATAGTGTAACAATTGAAATGTAGGGATTATCTGTTTAAAAGATGCAACCAGCTAAATGATAATAACATAGTAATATAAATATTTACACAACTATCTTAAAGAACATTTTGTAAATGCACAAATCTAAGTCTGTGTAAAAATACACACAGGGCTCCTGTGCTGGTTGCTTTGGCCCTTATAGAAAGTGGGATGAGGTATGAAGATGCTATTCAACTCATAAGACAGTAAGTACCGCACTGAATGACACAATTACCAATGACAAATGACAATGACACACTTGCTACATAAAAACAAGAATGCTAGGCACCATTTTTATTAGATCATGAATATCTAATCTAAGAACATACACTTTTTTTACAGATAAAGTTGAAGAAAAAATAAATGTATCCTCATTTTAATCGTTTGTTGAAATTCTGAATTTATAAGGTCATAAGTTTGAAGGTCTGATATAAACCAAACATTTGAATCCATATATCAACATACAGTATATGATTCATCTACACTAACAATGCAAATAGTCTCTTATTTAATTATTTTTCATTTACCCTTTATTTATACAGGTAGTCTCATTGAGTCACGAGAACTCATTTTCAAGAGAGACCTGTTTTTGGGAGCAGATGGGGGTTAAAGGACTTGCTCAGGGGCCCAGAGTGGGGCAAATAAGGGTGGATGCTGATGTGGGTATTTCATCTTTTCCACCCACATTTTTGATGTTGACGGTACTGGGAGTTGAACCTGTGACTTTACAATCACAGGGCCCTCTTCTCTAACCTCTGCACCCCAACTCCCTCCAAAATAGTCTGTATTCGGGGCTTAATTTGTAAACCAATCGATGCTGGAACGCAAATAGCAGGTGGGCAGGGAGGCGGGGGGTGTTCTGGGGTCCTCCTCCAGAAAATTTTGAATAAAGTAGATGAGATTTCCTGCAATTTCGTGTATTGTAATGGGTTATTAAACATCTACATTTACCTACATTGGTAAACACTCTGCTTCTGACAAACATCCTCCCCCACCTCCCCCTTAATTGACGGTTCAGAGCCCAACTCTTCTCCACTGAATTCATTGTCCGACTCAACATGTGAAACCTCCAGGCGCCTCCATCATCTGTTCATGGCGGCTGCCTGTGAGCGGCTGCCTGCATATGACTGCCTGGTTAGTTCAGCACTCACCCCCACCACTCTTTTAGGGGTGGATATTTTTTTAAAGTTAGAAACAGAAATGCTTGAAGGGGCAGCTTGTATGTGATATTAAGAAGCTTGTAAGTGGCTGTTGTGTTTAAAATTAGTGTTTATGTAATTATTGTCAGTTTATATATACAATATAAGTTTTATTCGTTCAAGTCAAATGTGTTCATAACTTTATTATTAGTAAACCTGAGAGTTACCAAGCCAACAGTTACTGGAACACATCCTGCCAAAATAAGAGTTCCCGGATCCTGTTCCAGCAAGATCCGGCTCAAATTAAGCCCTGGTTATATCCCACTAGACCTAACAAATTTGAACATCATGAGCATATAAAAAACTAAAGCAGCAGTCTTTCAAATAATGCATATTGCCTGTCGCATCAAAGCTTAAAGTTTGTGATGAGGATGATTTTCAGCTACTACCACGTCCATCTAAAAATTTGTCGAGTTAGGCATTTTTGTGCAAGCTAATGCCGGTTAGCTGTGGTGTCTATCTTAACTCGGATTGACTCAGAAAATTATTCAGTTGTCAATGTATACTCAGTGATTACTTTCTGTGAGTTCAATTAAAATCCATGAACTTGTTCAGGAGATATTTTGCTAACGGATAAAACAAAAAGATATATACACACACAGGCAAATTCTTGATCACCCACCTTTCATGATGGTGGGCGATAATTATTCCTACCCGACTGTTAGTTGGCTAATCTTACTGCACTGAATGAGCGTCTCCGTTCCCTCTCCAATAAATCCAACACAGAAGCCTGAATCAAAAATCCCTCTGTAATAAACATAAAACAATATTAAACAAGTAGTTTATTGGTTTTAACTCACCTGTTGAAACAAACACATGAAGAGACAAGAAGGAGGAGCACTTTTCTTTATTTCCAACAAATAAAAAAGGGAGTTTTTCTAATTTTTTTTGGTTGCATCAAAGGCATTTAAACAGAATGTTAACACCATTTCCTTCAGCCAGTGTTTGTTTGTTTGTTTGTTTGTTTGTTTCAGGAACAGACGAGGAGCCATCAACAGTAAACAGCTCACCTACTTGGAGAAATACCGATCGAAGCAAAGACTTCGTTTCAAAGACTCGCACGCGTTGAAGAACAAGTGTTGCACTATGTGAAAACCCACGGACATGACGCACCTTCGAACAAATGTCTCAGGAACCCATCAGTAAAAACGTTCTTGTTGTCGCACACACACACACGCACGCACACACACACACACACACAAAAACATTGACATAAGGCTCCTTTTGCCCATCTGCCAAAGCATGTTATTAAAAATGTTAAGTCACTTTTCTTTATTTTTGAAATTATTTTTTTAATGATCTGTTTTTGTTTTTGTTTTGTTTGTTTTTTTTTTTTTGGGGGGGGGCATGCCATTTTTATTTCCTGGGTTACAGTGTACAAAAATGAAGTATTCAAGCCGAGAATGGAAATATTTGAATGAGTTGCTACATTTAACATTGCTGCTGCTTTTTTAAGGATTCGTTGCTGCTGACTGGTCTGTGGTAGAGGTGGGGACGGTGGGGTGATGTTGGATGGGGATAAAAATAGTTTAAGTATTAGCAGTTTTTTTTTTTAAAACAAAAACTAAACATTTACTCAGTTTAGCACGAGGTCTACATTAGTTCTGACACGATCAAGGTTTTCTGCTTTCTGTCACATTTTCTTAAACAGGTTTGAGTTTTTGCACTTGTTTTTTTTTTCTAAATGATGCAAATGCACATTTTGTTGTGGCAGTTCCATTCACAAAACTGCTTCTTGCTGATGCACTTTTTATGTTGAAGTAGTTAATGTACAAAAATTTGATCAGAAGTGGATCAGAAGGTAATTTTCATTGTGACCGGAATAAAACTTTCTGAAGAAAAAAAAAATGTTGAGAAGATAAAGCAAAAATAAAGTAAAGAAAAAAAAACAACAACAAAGGCTTAAAGATGTATGTGCATTTGTTTGTGTTTTTTTCGTGTGTGCAGCTGGTAGTTTTTAGATATTGCTAGAATGATTTAAATTTTACGTAATGAAAAAAATAGAAGAAAAGGGGGGAGTGGTGGAGCAGTGGTTAAAGAAGGTGAGCCTTTGATTAGAAGGTTGCTGGTTTAACTCTCTGGACCCAAAACGTTTAAATGTTTCATCTTTCACCGACCACATTAAAATGTGGGTGGGAAAGGTGAAGCACCCACACCCGCCTCTACCCTCGCTTTCCAACTCTGGGCTCCTATGGCAGTTCTCTGCTCCACATACAGGGCTGTGGTAGCTCAGTGGTCTGTGGTGACATCAGGAAGGGCATCCGGCAAAAAAAAACAATTCCAGTCTTTGTGCGAGTTAGTTTGCTGTGGTGAGTCCTGAGGAAGGGAGCAGCTGAAAGATGAAAATAATAATAATAATAATAATAAAATAGAAGGAAGGCTGTACTGTATATGTATGTAAAAAAATGTATATTTTGCATTGTTTAATTAAACTTGTGTCTATATGTCCAAACTTACATAGCTGTTTGTCATTTATTCTCTGCAATTTTCCTTACCTGTTCTGTTCCCATTTTGAGCTATTATTAAGGTACACTCCTCTAGTTTTACATAAAACATAAATTCAGTATTTTACCGCTGTAGTACTTTCTTCCGACCGCCAGAGGCGCAGTTCATCTCAACGCTTACATGCCAGCAGTAGCTACTTCCGCTAACTAGATGACTTGTGTCGCACATTCGACAGAAATCTTTGTTTTCGTAAAGTAAATAATACCTAAATCTCTATTTACTCACTGTATGTAGTTATATAGTAGTCCACACTTGTACACAAATATTTTAGTTTATTTTACATGTAGGTAAAAATGGACCGAGAACAAACAGGTAAGAGTTTTGGCTAATATTATTAACTCGTCGAATATGTGTTGATCGACACCACCTCGTGTTTATCTCATGCAAGCTAACATTTCTGGATTTAAACTACTCAAATAATAATTTGTCAATTATTTTTGTGTTCGAGGTGTAAACGTTAATGGCAAACTTCTGTGACGTCTTGCAATAATCTTAATTTTTCTTGACTGCAATAAACCAAGCATACAATAAAGCAAACTTACAAACTAGGCAGTTGTGGTTCGTTTAATTTGAACGAATTGATGGACGAGTAGTAACTGTTTTATTAATGCACTGTGCTTTGTTTGTTTCTGCATCTTCTACCTTTTCTCGTAGTCTTTCCAGCTGGCTCTGCGTTCATGTGTCAGCTGTGCAAACTCTTCTCTCACAGTCGCGCTCAGCTGTTGGGTCATTGCTCCCAGGTGCATCCTCAACATGAGTCTGCAGAAGACATTATGGTGGAGCTGCAGCCACTTACTGCAGAGCCAGTGAAACAGCTGGCAGGTATACCGTAACATTATAAGGAGTGCTGACACAGAGTTTTATCTACAAAATATACTAGGCAGCACTACATCTTAGTGGTTAGCACTGTTTCCTCACAGCAAGAAGGTCCTGTGCTTTATCCCCCAGTTTGGACTTGGGGTCTTTCTGTGTGGAATTTGCAGGTTCAAGGCTGCCTTCAGGCCCAGGGCCCCAGGCTACCCTTGAAAAACAGATCTGTGATCTCAATGGGATCTGACAGATTAAGGTTGATAAATATATGCACATCACAAGTTGTGTCACTATAATCCACAACCATAATACTTCAGGAACTACTGCAGGGATTAATTAAATTTTTAATTTAGATGAATATTCATGATGGACTAAAGTTCCATCAGGTTTATTATGTAAAGCTGTATTTAAGGTCATTAGTTATCATACAAATGTAAATAAAAACAAAGAAACAGTACATGTGCAGCTCATAAACATATTACCGGTAATATCATTTGTTTTCCTTCTTTCCTCTCTTTCTCATGTACTTGCTCTCAGAGGGTCCAGTTAAGCGAAAAAGAGGACGGCCAAAAGGCTCCACAAAGAAGATTCACATTAACTTGACAGAGGATGCTACTCATTCTGCAGAGAATGATTTTAAAAGAGAACAAAAGAGAAACGAGGAACAACGCCTAGAGTGTAGTTCAGTTCAAGGTAGTTCTGTTTATATTTTTATACATCTCATATTTCTTTCATTTTCTACTACATAGAGGTATATTTGTTTTATCAGTTTTTTTAATCCGCTTTAGTAAATTGTGTAAACTTTTAACACAGAATTTTGAGTGTTTTAAAGTTGTTGTTTTTTTTCCAAAGATGACCAAGTGTAATTGATGCATTCTGACTCGGTTTTTGTTGTGTTCTGTTGAGAAGAAAGTCGTGGTGAGAGTTCAACACTGGAATGCAGACACTGCCATCGCTCATTTGGAAACAAACGACAGATCCTCAAGCACATCTGCCTAAAAGAACAAGATAAAGTAGAGGATGATACAGAGAACGGTACGGAGAAAGGCTGGCATTCTTACGAAAATATTTACCAAATAAAAGCCCCAGTGTACCCCATGGAGGCCTACAATGAGCAGTAAACGGGATTTAACCGAAGAAATGTGCTGAAAATGATTTTTCTTTCATTATTTTTCTTTAGATGTTACCAGAAATTTGGGGATCAACTAGAAATGTACTAAATATTTTTGGTAGTTTCCATTTAAATTGTGCTTAATCATTGTGGTCATTTTCAGAGAGTGTCTGTGCTGGAAAAGTAGAAGGAGGTTCTGAAGATGTGGATTCTGAAGGAGCAATTGTGAACCACTCTAAACAAAAACCTGCAAGATTCTCAAAAGTAAAAGGCAAGCTGATTTGATTGCAGCCTCTTAAAATAACAATTAGGATAGGAAACCTTTAATTTTTTTATTAAATTGAACCTTTGTCTACATGTAGATGTGAACAGCATTAAACTCTCCCAAAGCAACAGATCTCATGTCTCAGGTGAAGAAGGTCCGACAACTGGGCAGAAAAAGTCCGTCATTGGTGTTGTTCTGAGAGAGGATGAAATACTTCCAGGTCATTCTAAAATAAATGTTAGTCTTGTTTTTTTTTTTTTTTGTTTAACATTTTTTGACAAAAGTTGATATAAAGACAAAAGTGTTACTTTTAAATTCAACAGGTATTAGTAAAATGGTACCAATTGAGGACAGTTCAGAAACAGAGACTGCTGCTGTTCAAGCTCAACATCAGGTAAGCAAAGGATCATTTCAATTCAGTACAGTTTAATTGTTTAGTAGTACCTCAGTGCAACACATCTCAAAGCACTATACGAAATAATAAAGAAAAATCAATTTAGATCTAGATTAAAACTAAATAGTCGGTTCATTTCTTTTAATATAATACATTCATCTAATACACAATATGTAAAGCTGATCAGTAAATGTTATCTATCAAAAGATGCTTGAAAATTGCGTCAAATCTTCACTTAGTCACAGTCTTCCATCCTGAGCAGCACACTGGCAACAGTGGAAAGGAATGACTCTATATGAACAGGAAGAAACCTCAAGCAGAATCAGCCTCAAGCTTAGTTGGGGTTTGAAAGAGCAAGAAAGACATAAAACACACATAGGAGGACTGGTCCAGGTGTAGTATCTATGGCAGGGGTCTGCAACCTGTGGCTCTGGAGCCACATGCAACTCTTTGGTCCCTCTGCAGCGGCCCTTTCAAGCTTTGACCAAAGCTGACATAAACCTGAATTTCATTGGTTGTATAAACAGCAAAAAATGATTAGTTCAAACAGTTTTCCTGTCATTTCATTGACAAGAAGTACTTTAACATGATGCTTTATGTTGTTATATGAAGAACTGTCTGCATAGTTTATAGATTTTTTTAAAATTAAAAGTAAAAAAAAATTTTTTTTTAATTTTTTTTTTTTTATCCCTTTACAAGAATTTGGTCTTTTTCTTTAATAAATGTTAAAAATCATTACATGTTTCTTGATTTATAATGCCACCCTTACTGGCCACAAAGCCCCCTCCATCAAATCTGGCTCACGGGCCACCAGTTGATAACCTCATGTAGGGAGGCCCAGACTTCCCTCTCCCCAGCCACTTGGTCCAGCTCCTCCGGGGGAATCGCGAGGCGTTCCCAGGCCAGCCGAGAAACATAGTCCCTCCAGCGTGTCCTGGGTCTTCCTCTGGGTCTCCTCCTGGTGGGACATGCCCAGAACACCTCACCAGGGAGGTGTCCAGGAGGCATCCAAACCTGATGCCCGAGCCACCTGAACTGGACGTGGAGAAGCAGCGGCTCTACTCTGAGTCCCTCCCGGATGATGGAGCTTCTCACCCTGTCTCTAAGGGAGAGCCCAGACACACTGCGGAGAAAACTCATTTTGGCCGCTTGTATCCGAGATCTCATTCTTTCGGTCACAACCCAAAGCTCATGACCATAGATGAGGTTAGAGAAGGTGAGCCTGTGATCAGAAGGTCACTGGTTCAACTCCCCGGACAGACAACATCAAAATGTGGGTGGGAAAGGTGAAGCTGTGAAAAAATTTATAAACTAACATGTATTGTTTAAATATTATTTAA